AATATTCCTGTAAGCCAGGAAAAAAAAATCCTGTTAAAAAAAAAATCACCTCATTAGATAATAGTCTAAAATGTTACTCTTTGCTTTCCTCATAGTTATATAGCCAAACAGCCACTGAAGAGCAGCAGTCATGGTTCTGAGCAACCTCATGGCTGTGGGCGTCAAAAATGGCCACAAGGTGACCAAGAACTGGGGGCACAGCGGCTGCTGTGGGCACCTCACCAAGCATATCACATTCCTATGCTACATGATCTGGGAGCTGTGCACAGCATGGAGCTGCTCAAGGTCTCCAAGGACAAACAGGACCTCAAATTCATTAAGAAAAGAGTGGGGACACTCATTGGACACCAAGAGGAAGCTCAAGGAGCTGAGCAACATGCCGGTTGCCATGAGGAAAGCAGTTGCCAAGAAGAATTGAGACCCTCTCTTTCATGCAGAATAAAGTTTTGGACAAAAACGAAAACCAACAACAAAAAAGGTGAAATCACATTCATATTTAATATGGGCTCAAAAAAAAAAATCATGAAAAGAAACATCCTGCTGGATTGGTGGCCTATTTCTCTTGTCAAATACCTCAGGACTTCCTTGGTAGATAGCTTTTCCTAGGAAAGGATTAAAATAAACTACAAGATTATACTTATCACTTACAAAAGTCTTGTTAATTCATAAAATAGCTCACCATTACCAGGTAATGAAATGGCCTGTACCCTTTACACTTCACTGCCCAAGACATAATCATATTTTCTCCAACAATGCCACTGAGGCTTACTACAAGCACTAGTGCAGCCCCTCCTAACTGCATACGGTCACAAAGCCTATTATTAGAGCTAATAACCACAGATATCAAGATAGACACTTCCAGTGTGGGGTCTCTGTATATGGTTGGCTCCCACTGCAAGATGGCTCAATCAGAAGACCCCCTAATGCTGAGAACACAAGCATCACTCTTACTTTGGCCCAGCGTCCTTAGATAGATGAGACAGACTCCACACGATCAGTGTACACATATAATAGCATTGCAGATACAATTCAATAGTGCACTCCCTGTGGCACCTTTTGGTTATCTTCAAGACAAATAGGAAGATATTCTTTAAGATGTGCCTAGTTACAAAACAGATGAGTTATGAACACTGACTTACCCCATTTTCAACACCAGTGATCTCAAAATATATTTCACTGGTATGATCATTTGGCGATCTTTGTTCCTTTCCTGGGGTTAAAAGATGTGATGCACCATATAAAGACGTTAACAAAGGGCCTTAAATGACACTGTAACAGTCAAATTAATGAAGCAGGTTGTCCTACAAAATTGGATGGCCCAAGACATTTTAAGGAAAACATAAGGCTAAACTTGTATATTTATAAACATATATATATATATTTATATATGTGTGTGTGTGTGTGTATAATTTTTATATATATATATTTTTTTTTCCTCTCTTTTTGGCTAATGTCTCTATGGGTCTGCATGACCTCCAACAAGCTAATGCTGTGTCTAATCCAGAGGCTCCTAGGACCCTGTCTATAACCTCTCTATAAAAGGTCATTACTGGCCCTGATTGATAAAAGTTGCTGACAACCGTGGTGAGTGTTCTTTTAATTTTATTAGGAACCTGTGTGCTTGGTTTTGTCTTCTCCAGGCTTAAAACAAAAAGTATCCACCTGACTCCCACCCCACTCCTGACTTTTATGGAGGATCTCTAGACAGGCCTCCTGAGGAGTCTCTCTGACAATTACAACAGTCCCTTTCTACAGAAGAAAGTCCTGAACAATCTTCATTCATTTCCCCTGACGGTTGGAGATAGCTCTTCAAGGGGGAAATACTTACAGATGGTTAAATTAGATAGAGTTTGATAGGCAGGTAAAAAAGACAGGGCCCAAGATAGAATCAAAATAGAGATAAGATAAACCAGGCTCATAGTTAAGAGCTGAGTTGATGGAAACGAGGCCCCAAAACAGAGACGTGGTGCTAGGCCTTCAAGCCTTCTGAGATAAGTAACGGCTTAAAAGTACACCCTCACTAGCATGATTTGGTTCAATAAGCCTAAGCAATGTAACAATCATGTAGATGACCAGAATACACTGTTCTTCACTTTTACCCCTTCCAGCAATGCTTTATTTTTTTCCCATGTTGTGTATCTTTGCTACATACCTTGTTTTTTTCTTTTCTTTTTTTTCTTTCTTTCTTGGTTTTATGAGACACTCTCACCAGACAGTTTATGTTGACCTTGAACTCACTGTGTAACCCAGGCTGGCCTCAAACTCGAGACAATCCTCCTGCTTCAGTCTCTCAAGTGCTGGGATTGCAGACATGCACTGTCCTTTTTTTCCTACTAAATTTATACTACTTAAGTGATTTTACTTGTAATCCTATAGGTTGAAGGTTTACCCAAGATAAATTGTGATGTAATTTTACTATATAGATAGTAAAAGAACGTTAGCACTAATCCACTTTTGAGTCCCCTTCTGCCTCTCAGGGCTTTCTCTTAATACAATTTTCCCTCTCATAACCTGCTTTGCCTTCAATTCCATTCTTTGGTATTTTGAGACACAGCTTTGACACATCTGTCATGTTGAGAGTTACTTCCTTGTAACAAAAGAACACATCAAAAAATGACCACTGTAGTACTCTCTGTAAGAAGCCCAGAACCAAGAGGAGTCCATCAGTAGGATGGGAAAATATGTGTATTATGAGTAATGAAAGAGGGGCTGGGGATTTGGCTTGGCGGTAGAATGCTTGCTGAGCAAGCTGGAAGCCCTGGGTTTGGTGCTTGGCACCAAAACCAAGACCAAACCAAACCAAACCAAACCAAAACAAAACAAAACAAAAACCTCCACTAAAAACAATTCAACCAAAAAAATACAGTAAAATCATAAAAGACTAAAAACAAACAAGGCAAATGAGTAAAGAAAGAGATTAACTTCAATTTCACATGTATGAATTTTGCAACTATAATGATGAGAAAAAGAAGACAGACTCAAGAGTGTCTCCTGCACTGCACTGTAGCCACCCTAAGAAGCTCAAAAATAGACAAAAACTTAGTGTTAAGAGTTGGGGAAGGTAACCAGAAGCTGATGAAAAGTTTCTGAGGTCTAGGAAATAACCTGTTTTTTGACCTAGATGCTATTTATATGGTAAAGAATTCACTGAGGTGTTCATATAAGGTTTGCTGAATGGAAGTTATACTTTATACAAAGAAAAAAATGAGTTCTTCCCAACTGTAGACCTTTTTTTTTTTTTTTTTTTTTTTTTTTTTTTTTTTTTTTTTTGGGTCATTTGACCCATGGAACACTTCTGCCCAAAATAAGCATCTTTTATTGTTAGCTATCCTCACTTTTCCTTTATCTATCTTTCCACCTAACAACTTATTTCCAAAGTACTAAGAGACTCGAAGAATACCTGGTCTTCCCTGGAGATTTTCAGCATTTCCTTAGCTAAGATACATTTTCTTTAAAAACAACAGAGTTTGCATAAATGTAATTTTGCCTCCATCATGGAATGCCTTTTATATTATCAATTATAAAGGAATCTGAGTCCTTGCTTTCTTTTTTAATGTTTTTAAAGTTTATTTATTTATTTATTTATTTGATACAAGGTCTCACTACACAGCTCGGACTCGTAGAGATCCTCCTGTCTCAGCCTCCCCAGTGCTGGGATTATAGGTGAGTGCCACCATGCCATGCTTGGTTCCGGGGCCAGCACGGCATGTGGTACCAGGAATCGAACCCAGTCCTTGCACTTGCCAGGCAGATGCTTAGGCCGCCAAGCTATCTTCCTGGTCCCCTTGCTTTTAATTAACTAGAAATTTGGGTGTTTTGTCCTGAACATAAAATATTTTGCCTTAAGAATATTGTTTCCCCATCTCTTGATAAATAGAAATGACTTACAGATTTAAGAGGGCAGTGGATTTATTTTTGTTTCTATTTATTAAAGTCTCATATGGTTCCATGCTTAGAATATTATTAGAATTGTACAGATTATGTGTATAATATGTTTATGGCACTATTGCTTTTTTTTTCTTTTTGTATTTAGGACAGGCTATACAGGATCTCACTGCGAAGAATGGACTCACAGTGATCTTCCTGTGATCTTCCAGCCTCCCAAGCGCTGCAATTACAGGCGCCTGCTACCATGCTCAGTCTCAATTGCCAACTCAGCAGGCCCTGGGGGCGGGGCGGCATGGCAGGCCTGGGGATTGAACTCCCGGCTCCTGAGTCTGCCTGAGCAGGTGCTTTAATCCACTGAGCTATTTGGCTGGCCCCAGTATTGCTTTTAAAAGTAAAAAGAATTGGAACATCTTAGACATTTACTAGCAGGCAGAATGGTTAAATTAATCTGGCATAGTCATATAGCAAACACATAGAGGGAAATCTATGAATATAGAGACATTTTTACATGATAAAATCTGTAAGATATACACATATTCTATCAACAGCAAGTTTTTTGAAGACTAATGTATACTAACAGTTTTGATTCTGTGGAGGAGATGTCATTGTTCATCATTACATATTTGTCTGAGTTATTGTTTACTATATCCTGGCATAAATTTTGAGTAATGATAAAATCCTCATGTCTGAGTTTTTCTCCATTTTTTTTTTTTTTTTT